TACCTTGGGCTTTCTTGCTGCACACAGCCTCTACCCTTCTTAGATTTGTTTTATGGACATGCATCCAGGAGGTTGTTGTAAGGCTGCTGTTTGCATGTCCTCTTGAAAATACGTGGTGGTGTCTGGCTTTACGTGGACCTCTGCATGCACACAGGGGGTCTAGAAACAGAGGGACCACTACAACCTACAGAACTGGTTTTATTGCTCCTTGGAGTGAGAGAGCCCACATACCAAGTTCCAAAGTCAAAATGAGTTTTAGGCCTATTCCCTTGTACAGTGTTGGCCCTCAATGAAAGGCTAGGAAGCAATATGGAAGTTGGTGGCACAGATGATCTTCAGGGAGAAGAGGTACAGCACAGCTTTGCTGGTCACAGCTCTGCCACTGGCATGAAGAAGCAGCTGGACCAGGACTGTGTTACGTGTAAGTGGCCCTAATTTGAGGTTTTGCTATGATTTCTGGAAGGTCCTGTAGTTGCTTGTAGTGGCTTGTGAGGAGTATTTCCATCACCCAGCAGTCTCTGGCATTATGGATCATGTGCAGCTCCCTGGTAGTGGGTGGGATTTCTGCAAAAAGAAACCCTCATCCCCAAACAAGCCCAAATTTCTCAGATATTTAGCACAGAACCTTCTCTCTTTTTCCCTTCTTTCCCCATCTCCTTCAAACATACCTGTGGGTAGAGGCAGTGTTATTGGAGCAGCCTATTTGACTGCTATAATATTTTCCACGCCGATCTATTGACTTATGTTTCATGTTTTCATTGGATCAACACCTTTTGAGAGCAGTGAAAACTACTTGTATTTTAATACTTGGAGGTAGTGTGTTGCTCTACTATCTTTTCTTGATTTCACCTCTAGAAGGCAGCGATGATATGTCTTTTTACAGTCACCCAAATGAAATGTGTGTCTTACATCCCTCAGTGAGATTCCTTTATTAATAAGCTTCTATATGCTGCATGAAGCAACACAGCATGATTTCAGTGTGTGTTTAGGACCAAATGTACAAAGAAGGAAGGAACTGCTATATTTCAAAGCTCTTCTCTCTTAGGGAGAAGAGTTTCTGCTGCCATGATTGCAGAGGCAAAGTATGGTCTTCATTCTAAATGTTGTTTGCTTTTATTCTTTTCACTGTCTGTGATTGCCTGGCATAAAATAAAAAGCAAAAAGCAAGAGGAGCTCCTGTGCAAGACGGAGATCTAATCTTCCTGACACTTCCTGCTGAATCCACTCACTGTCTTGGTTGGAACCCCTCAAAGAACAGACCATGTCTTTCCTCCATCTCAGGGTCTCTGGTTTGATTAGTGCAGACCTTCCTTTCCTGCAGGTCTGCCCCTGGATCCCTGTCCCCATACCTATCACCACTGACTGAGAAAAATGCAACCTGGGTGCAAACAGGCTGGCTGATCAGCAGCAAACTAACAGCAGGGATAAATGTGGGACTCCCGATGCAGCTTTTCTCATTAGGACCATTACTTGCTTTTTCTTTTTTTGTTTTTTTCCCTTCTGTTGAACCATTGGTTTTCGGAGAACTTCTAGGACTGAAGAATCTTAAAAGCAATTGGTGGATAGATAGGGTTATACCCCTCTTTGTATGGTAGGGAATCATTTTGTTTGCCCAGAAATTGAGTCCCTATGGGAAGAAAAACATATCTGTATGAGCTGAGGTGAGAAAAAGAAAAACTAGATCCAGTGAGGTGGGAATTATCATCTTGTGCTTACTGAGTGTTGCCATCTCTTGTTGAATATCATCGTGAAGCTTGCAATGTTTGTGGATTTTACTTGAGACTTTTGGTCTTTATTTGAGCTCCTGGAATCAAGAGGCTTAATGAGATTCTCAGCTTTCTATTTATTTTTATTTTTTTTAAACTAGCATTTCCAGCTCTCTTGATCTTGGAAGAAAACAACTTCTCTTAAAAATATGAAGCCTCGAGGGTCTAAATGAGAAAACAGATGAAAAATACTCCAAATACTTTTGGGTTGGTTAAGACTTTTTATTTTGAAGCCTATATCATTCTGCTCTAGGGCCACACACAACATTTTTGAAAGCTGAAAATTGGCAACACTCGTTTCTTATTCAAAGGGTGAATATTAGCAGCTGTCGTGAGTGTGGGTGTGGGGGGTGATATTGCAAGCAGCCTTTTGCAGGTTTGTGGGCTTCTTGTGCAAGGCAGCTCGCAGTCCCTGCCTTGCAGAGTTCAAGAAGGAGGAGCCTATAATGCTGTTTTCCCTCTTCTGTTTTCAGTTATCCATCTATAAGGAGGGAGTAAGTGAATCGCCCATGAAGTCTAGGAGAGAAGTAGGAATTTAAATCCAATTTGCTGCAGTTATTTATGCGACCCACCTACAAAGCAGTGCCGCGGTGGTGGGAAAACACTGAGGCGCTTAACAACACGATGGTATCCCGTCCGTGGGACAGGAAGCACAGCCAGGCGTTGCTCAGGACAGAGCAAGGGTGAGAACAACTTCTGCAAGCAGAAAAACAGGGGCTCTGCAACGCCGCTCAGGCACTCCTCCTGACCACGGTGGTTGCTGTTGTTGTTCCTGCCTTTAAAACAATATACAAGGAACTATCCAATATCCTAGGGCTTTTGTTTATCTAGATTTTTATGAGGGGGATGGGGGAAGAGGAGAGAAAGAGAGGGAAACACAAGCATTCCTTCCAACCAGAAAGTCATGAGTTTTGATTCAGTCTAATTACACAAGTGATATTTTTATAACCTCTGTGAAGTCTCCTTGCTTTCTTGGTGTGTCTCCATTGTTTATGTGAGAGTGGCCAGGTAGCTAAGGCAAAGTAACGTTGCAAGAATAATTCCCTTGGCCTCAGAATATGCTGCACTCTCTTTTTGGCTTTGTAAACAAGCCTGTTTTCCTGGTTTCAAACCTCTTAGGTTCTTTTCTTGTTGTTTCTTCCTCCGAACCAGAGTTACTTATATTCTGCCCAGCTCTGGGCCATGTCAGCAGCTTTACTACATCCCTTAAGTATGCACAAAGTAATGGGACGAGATCTCCAGTGAATTAAATCAATACCGTTTCTCCTGGTCTACTATTGTTTGCAATAAAGCAGTGTAATGTGTGCCCCCCTCCTGACTACTGAGGGGTCCCTGGCTTTGGTTTGGCCCTGAGGAGATAAGCTTGATCCTTGTGAGCATTTTGAGATGTGAGGATTGTGAGATGTGATTTGTGAGCTTATTTGAGATGAGTGGTATTGGGATTCATGTGGCAGCAAGATGCCTCTTTCTTACAGGAACCTCTATCCATATGTCAGGGAGAACACCTGCTTCAGAGTTTCTGGACTGTTGTGTGTCCCCTCTGCCCATTTGCCACTGGGACATGATAGTTTTGGTTGGCAGGACAGGCCCCTGGAATGCCTCTTCTGTGAAGAGCAGTGTTCACTGGGAAGGGAAGGCCCAGAGCACTTCTTGGTCGTACAATATTAGGAAGGATGCTTCAGTAGCTTCAGCTGGTGAAGTATTCTGTGGCATGATGTAATTGATAGAGCCTGCTTAGTCTTACATGAAAACATGCAGCTCTCAGTGTGCTTGCAAACTGGCCTCCCTGCAAGTACAGCAAGTGATAGCTGGCCATCACATCTCTCTCACTGCACTGCTATTAATCTGAATTACTAGTCCTTTGGACTCATTTTATGATATGTTGACTCAGCCAAAATTCTGAGCCATGAGTTTTCACAGGTTTGTCAGACCAGATCTTGGATGCTCTTTGCATCCGATTGCCTGAATGTTCTCTCCAGTACTGTGGTTGCTTTGATGATGTGCTTCTTGAACCACCTGTTGAGGTAGAGATTTGGAGAGTCCAAAGGTAAAATGAAATGATTCTGTGCATGGGTCTGAGGTAGCTTTGGTAGTGCTACCGCAGCTCCACAGCAAGCTTTTCTGCCATTTTCACCCTTGCGAGAAATGAAGTCAAGCTCTCAGCTGGTAAGTGATGAGCACTGGTCTCTTGCAAGGAGGCTGTCAGCTCCAGTGTAGCACTTGTGTGCTCTTCCCACATCTATGGATGCCACTCTGCGTGTTTATGATGAGCTGTCATCCATACATTGCATGTTTGGAACAAGCAGTGCTAACTTTCCTCTTGTGTGGTGGTTTGGATGATGTGGAAATAAGTGGATGTTTTCCAAGTGTAATTTTTTCAGGGGACTGCCTGAGGAATGACCTAGAGCTTTTAGCAGAGACAGGGGAATGGTGAAGGGCAGGCACAGAAGAGAGGAGAAAATAGAATGGTAAAGCTTTGAAGATGGTAATTGGGTTCCTGAGCTTGGACATGGTATTGAGGATGTGTGGAGGAAGGCAAAAGATGCACTCAGGAATATGGCAGGAGGAGTCTGTCCACCTGGGAGAAGAAGCGCTCACCTTGAGGTGAAGGTGAGCGCTTCTTCTCCCAGGTGGGAGGAATAGGAAGACAGGCCATGATGGGAAGAGATGGAAAGATGGTATGAGTCAGGGGTGGGAATAGCCAAATTCAGCACTGCTTTTAGGCAGAGGAAACTCTGCTGACATCTTATAGCTTCAGGCAAATACCAGCAAAAACATCTGGGCTGGATCTTGATCAATATAAATCTGCTTCGGGGGCCACTGACTTCAGCAGTGCCACGCCAATTTACGCATGTGGAAGGTTCAGCCCTCTGCTTGCTTGCTTCCCTGCTCTCAGCCCTGTCTACTTTTGGGGTCCTGTGGAGCACTCTCTGGCTGAATTTGTGGGGCTCAAGATAGAGGGCTTCCTGGTAAATGAGAAAAACACTGTCCTTCCATCCCACTTCATCTGCCTGGGATTTCCGACTGAAAGGCACTGACTAATTCCATCTGGCAGGCTGACCACGCTTCAAAGACTGCAGATCCTGAGACTTTTAACTTACAAACAAAACTATGCATTAAAGAAAAAAAAAAAAAAAGAAAAGAAAAAAAAAAAAAGGGGGGGGGGGGGGCTGGGAGTGGGGAAGACAGCTCTCCCGAGGGACAGTCTCTGAGAAATCCAAAACAAGGTCTCAGCGCCTGCCCTGGTGCTCCGGCTGACGCCAGTGTTTTTTCTGCCCCTTTTAAAACTGAGCTGGAGTGTTCCTGACTCCTCCATTCGACACCTCTGGCTCCCTTATTCCCCTCGGTGAGTGGGGTGGGGGGGAGGCTGGAAGGGAAAGGCCAGAGCAGAGGAGGAAAGAAATGCCTGGTATTGATCCACCAGGGCTGGCCAGACTGCAAGAAATTCCGGTTCGTGAAAAATGTTGCGGTTTAGAACATTTGTTTTCGTTCCACGGTGGGATGAAACCAAGGCTTTCTGGAAAGGGAGGGGGGAAAGAGAAGGAGAGGAAAAGAAAAATGACCCTTTTTTGTTGTTGTTGTTGTCAGGGAGGGGCAGCTTCTCAATGGTATGGGTGCCTGCATCACAGGTTGGGGTGTCAGTCCTTGCCCATCAGCCTCTTGGATGGAGGCTGTGTTCCTCCAGTTGGGTAGGGCAGTGGCTGAAAGGAAGCCTGTTGGGATGAGGAGGGACCTCCTGCTCATCATGTGCTCTGGTAGGGGAGAACCTGGGGGAGATCTTCAGTACTGGGACCTATGACACTCGTGGCAGTGCTCGTGCTTTGTGGGAGCTGTGCCCTTGTTTTTTTTCCCACTAAACTGGGTGAGGGGCCAGCTCACCTGCAGGGAGGTGATAAAGGTCTCCTCGCTCCAGCGTTGTAAAATCCTGACTCAAGATTTGAACAGAGGGGAGTTAGAGTGATTACATAAAGTAATGGACTTACACATTGCTCTTCCCTTTAAAAAAAAAAAAAAAAAAAAAAAAAAAAAAGTGTGTTATTGCACAGGCCTGGTAACGGGAATTCCTTGCAGAGAAGAATAGGAGAAGGTAAAAGCCCAAGCAGAGCTGGGAGACTTGAAGATGTCAAACAATAGGACAAAGATAGCATGTAGCTCTCATGCTTTCCAGGGAGGCCCTACAGGATGGTGAATGAAGATCTGAGCTTGCCTTTGGGTGACTGAATAGGGAGCAAAGCAATGGTAATGTGGTAATCTTTTGCATCTCTCCCAAAGTCAGAGTACAAATCAGTCTGTAATGTGGGCAATGGGATGTGGCAGTGCTGCCTCCCATCCTGGCTGACCCCTTGGCAGCTCTGCCCTAAGGAGCTGCTTTGTTTGTTTGCCAGGAGGTAAAAATCCCTTCTGGACGTCATGAAGCAAGTTGTGCAGAGGAAAACTGGGGGGGGGGGGGGAGTCTCTGCAAATGAGTCAGAGGGCTCCTCCAGGGGGCTGTGGGATTGTGGAGAGAGGTGGAAGAGCGTGGCTACCATAGGCACTAAGCCACAGGCATGAAGTTTTGGAGCTCACAGACCTAGGAGCACAATGGGACCTTCATCAGCTCTTTCCAGGGCAGGAGGGCTTGCAATAGAACCTGAAGTGTTTGGTATTTTGATTGTTAGAGGCCACATCTTCCAAGGCAAATGCTTTGGAGTAGCCAAGGAAGGTATAGCTGAGGCTGCTATGTGAAAGCTGCTTACAGAGCAAGCTTATTCCTCCAGAGGGGATTTCTTGCCTATATTGTACATCCAAAGCTTTTTCGCTAGCCGTGAGCCTGTCTTTCTGTGAGGACCCCTATTCCTGGCTTTCACCCAGCACTGCTCTCAGGACCTTCAGTGGCCACAGCCTCTTGCCCCAGTCCTATTCCTGTGAGGCAGGAGTATCACCAACCCGCTGTGAGACAGTCACATATTGAAAGGTGACTTGGTCTCTTCCACTTCCCCTATAATATCATTGGGTATCCCTTCTGAGGAGGGTTTCCTGCTGAATTAAACCAGTTATGGCTGCCACTGTTGTGGTAAGAGGGGCAGCTGCTCTTGAAGTCCGGGCCTGTCTCAGGTTGGTAAAGTGTCCATAAAGCTGTCTGGTTAGTCTGATAATATCTGGGATTGTCTAAGATTTTGCAGGACTCCAAGGTTGTGTATAACTTATTCTCTTTCATTTCCCACTGATAACAAGAGACGGATACTGCTTGCTCCCATCAAAGGAGCAGGTGGAATTTAACAACCATGGCTAGATGTCTCACTGTGGTGTCCCTGGTGCCAAAAGTAAATGGCACCAAAGCAGCCTTTCTTGCTCTTTCTCTCTTTTTTTTTTTTTTTTTTTTTGCATAGACTATAAGTAGTAGGTTTCTCCTGACCTGTCCCTGTGTTGCAGATGAGCCAGTGCTGCAAAGCAACTTCAATATCTGGTAAACTCATCACCCCAAAGCATCTGAGGCTCCGTGTGGGACTCTGCTAAGCATCCAGTGAAACAGAAGGCAGGGTTGAGTCTGTAGCAGTGCATTTCATTACTTACACACTGAAGGCATGACTCACTGTTGTGCTGACTTAAACTAGACTGGGGTAGGGAGAGCATTACTTCCTTGGTCCTACTATCTTTTGTTTTTGTACAAGAAACAAAACTTGCTGTTTTCCCCACGCCAAAGCATGCAGATGCACAATGCACTTCTGCAGGCTCCCCTGGAAGAACTCGCTGCAATCTGTTTTAAACACTCATCAGCTTTCTCATTATTTATCAGAAAGCCTGCCTGGTAATGCAGCATAGTATGGAGCCTGCAGAATGTTACTGTGAGTAATATGTATCTGTATATCCTGTAGAACTGGAAGATTTGTTAAGCCAAAAACTTCACAGTATTCAAAAAGTCACTTTTCATGCACATTTTTCATTGTAACTGAATTTCAAGTTACTTAACACCCCCCCCACACTTCCTCCTTCACTCATTCTCCTCAAAAGGGACAATCATTTTGAAAAACACAATTGTATGTATGCCACATTCTCCTCTGTAAAGAGAAAGAGATGCCCTGCTGTACTTTGAAGAGCAAATGCACATGGAGGCAGGGTAGAGTTGCCTCCTAGTGTCCTGTTTGAGGAGAAGGGTAGGGCTAGTACCTCTTCGTACACGCTCAGCATTTCATATTGAAAGACCATAGGCTTAGTTGCTAATGATATTGCCAACTGCTAACCATCCTCTCTGGTGGTTTTGGTGCCAGGCATATGACTCAGGCTTGATGGGATCGCATCAGCTGAAATGGTTCAGCCGTGTTCGAGAATGAGATAAGAGAAAACAGTCTTTTGGGAGTCTGGTTTGTCTGGGATGAACTTCCTCCATCACCTCTTGAGGAAGATGGGGTGTTCAGTCAGCCCATCGGAAAGTAGGTGCCTAATAGGAGTGGCATGAATTACACCACTGACAGTTTAGAAAGCTTGCTCAAAGTAGGCTCCTCATTCTTAGAATGGTTGTGTACAATATTCTGAGGCTGACGAAGAGCCTGTTGCTGTTAGCAGGGGAAAAATGAAGAAATCAGCCTTGTTATGTGTTTTAAAGAGGGTGAAAAACAATCCTGGTTTGCAGTGGTGAGAGTTTGGTAAATTCTCCGATGGGTCCATTTGAGCTGTGCGTTGTTGCAGTGCCTATATAAAAAGGAGGAAGATGTATTTCATCATGAGCCTTTCTAATGACTTTCTTGGTAATGTGAGGCTAGAAAGGAGACAAAAGGTTGTCTATCCCTCCTGTCATCATTGTGGCTTCAGTTTTGCTGCTGGCTGGGAGGAGATTCAACCAGATTTCAAGTGCACGAGTAATGCTGGGAGCTGAATCTGCGAAGGGAGCAAATAAAGACAAGAAACCTGGCATGGGAACACATGCACGAGATCTGGGGCCTGAGATACTGCTGCAAACCAGTGGGGAAGAGCAGTCTACTCTTGGGAACAGAGCTAGAAGGATGGGACTGGGAGATGGAAAGAGCATAGGAGAGAAAGGGAAGCAGCTGAAGTTGTTGGTGAGGCAAGGATCATCAGGGTACTAGAAGAGGTTCAGAATTTAAGCAAGACCTTGTCTAAGAGAAGTGGAAACTCCGTTGTGGAAGCAGCTGTGCAGAAGGAGGCAGAACAAGGACAGGCTGTGGGAGACAGGCAGAAAAATTCAGGCTTGGATGGGGACCAGGGAAGAATGATCTGGGATGTCCTGTGGAAAAAACTGGCTGTGTCACAATGACCATGTTCAGGGGAACCAGTTACTGCTGCGTGAATGACCTGGATTTTGGCACACGGAGGGCTTCCAGCTCCTAGCATATAACATTCTTTGTGGGTATAATACTGTATGGAGTGAATGTATTTTTTCATCTGGATTTTTCTCTCTGCTCTATTTCTTGTGCTAACCTTTCCTTGGTGTTTTTTTCTCTACTACTTTTTCCAGCCTTTCATGTTCAAACTTTGGGCCCAAGAAGGTTTCTGCTGCACTCCCAAACATACATCGTTCTAGCAGTTTGAAGTATTGAGTGAAATGTGTTCATCTTTCACTAGCTGGAGCAAAGAGACATAAGAAAGAGGTTTCCAGGAAAAATACCCTCAAGTCTGAGGAATAGCGTATCATCCGTATACCAGGACGTAATCATGCACTTCTGGCTGCTAACCGCTCTATTGTACTAAGGCAGAAAAGGGGCCTTGTGCTTCTTCTGGCCTCTGAGGCTATAACTTGATCTTTGTCTCTGTCCGGCACTGCATTTCAAACCCAGGCTGATACCGTGTGCAGCCCTTGGACAATCCTGCCTTTCTACGCACTTGCTGTTCCATGACCCTCTGGCAGAACCTCCTGCCCCCATTATTCATCCTGACACGGTTTGTAATGGATGGAGCGAACCTGCAGGAGCCAGCTTGCAAATTTCCCTAAGGCTGTCAAAGAAAGAGCACTATATGCAGGCAGAAGCACACAGCATGCAAACGTGCCCTTCCTGTGTTTTCACATGCTGTTTGTGCATGGATGTGTTTATGCACACTCATCTGCACACGCATTTTTTGAAGACTTGTTTTGTATCCTCGATGAAAAGCTGAGAATGAAAAGTGTGTCAATATACGTAAGGGAGCTCTTCAGTATGTTTTATTTGAAGTTTCAACTTGCAGCTGCTTTCTAACGTTAGGATAGGGTGGGGAATGGAAGAAGAGAAGGAAAAGAGAAAGCAAGCAGGATGCAGAATAAAAAAGGGAAAAGAGAAGGAGGGGAGAAAAAGTGGAGAGGGGAGAAAAGAAGAAGGAAGGGAGAGTAGAGAAAGGAACAAGAGGAGAGAAAAACAGGGGAAATGAAAAAGAGAAGGCGCAGATAACAATGATTCAGAGCTTGTATACCTTAGAATCTGAGAGATCCAAAAGTTCTTGACCTGCATTCCCCGTTTCAGGAGCTCAGTACAATAACACACCGTGGTTTGTTTAAAACATGGCAACTCGAGCCTTGTGTTTCAGAGAAATGTTTCGCAATGGTGCTGAGGAGAGGAGCAAAAAGATTTAGCTGTTCCTCCTTGCTATCTCCCTCCCTCTGCCTTTTGGCATGCTTGGAACCAAACCCACTCTCTTCTGAAACAATGAATAACATTGCTGTTTTGATGGAGTTAGGCTTGAATTAAAACTTCATTGCTGGAAAAAAAAAAAAAAAAAAAGGGGGGGGGGGGGGGAAGAAATCCTCAAATCCACTGAGACAGGATGCTAGTATTCATTATCTAGTGGGTTTATAGCTGAATGGTTTGACATCTCACACGCAGAGTGATGGAAGTGTGTGCTGCAGAGTGGTCTGCAAGGGGACAGTCATCACGTGGGACTCTGACTCATTCGAGTGGATTTTGATTTCTGTTCAGCTTCTTTCATTCCGTTTAGAAAGGACAGAGTCAAGTGCTCCAGAGCAAGGTCTGGTGCACTAATGGAATAAACAGTATTGTGGAGGTGCTGGCAAAGTCTCAGTTTGACTTGGCTTTGCTGGTCTCCAAAGAGTTATATTATTGATTATTTATGAGTATTCGGATGACCTTTGAGCAGTAGGGAAAATGTTTATGAATCTAAAGGGCTTCACAAACTTTAGCACAAGAGCTTGTTTTGTCCAAAAAAATATGAACTGTAAGTGACTTCTTCATTATTCAGCCTTGCTTATCCTCTTACTTTAAAAGCCTTTGGTCACCCAGTTGTGGTGTAGAATCAAACTGTACAGGGCAGATGAGCAGTGACGTGCAAGTGAAAATCCAAGCGGGAAGCATGTGAGTAACTCCAATAGAGCAGCTGGTTTTGTTCAATGGGCTGGGGAAGGCTGAGTTATTCAAAGAAGTCAAAGGGAGTTAGGTACTGCTGACCCATTATGTTTGTGGGCTTTCACACCCACAGGGGTATACTTTTGAAAGCTGTAGATTCACTTGGGAAAAATTAGGATCCGTTTGTGAGCAATTTGTAAGTGGAAGGAAAAAAAAACACCAAGCCGGCGGCTGAATTTCCAATCAGTCCTAATGATAATGAATAACTTCTGCAGTTCTGCTTTTCGAAACTAACTTGGTGTTGTCCATTTCTCTGCGTGTAGTTTCAGGAAATTGAAAGTACTTGGGGGTAAAAATTATCCTCAAACTCTTCAGTTTAGAAAACTTATTCTTTTTTTGTCATTTTCAGGATTTTCTTGTGCTTTTTGTATTTCTGTTTCTAATATCCCAGCATGGCTTAAGTTGCATTCCCGGGTCAGTGTCTGCAGCTAGGTGAAGGATTGGTGCATCCTACCTGCAAAAGGCTGATCCCCTTCTATATTGCTGTCTTAATGTTACATTGTACTCCCTTTGCCCATTGTAGACTAAAAAGCCTAAAAAATGCCACACAAGGGAATTGTAATGTTTAGTGCGTCACTCCCCCAGCAACAGCCGAGAAATGCTGGCTATTGAACTTCCTTGCACCTGGCTTCAACTTCTAGAATAAATCAGAGCAGCCTAAAGCTTATTATAAATTACTCCTGGTTCCTGGTGACTCCTGGGGAGTCAGGCAGGGATCAAAGGGGAGCACAAACAGCCCAGCCACAGCTCCTTCCCTTTCCTGCGGCTGATGCTAGGCTTGGGTATCGCTGCAGTGGCTCTGTACTGTTATGGTTTGTTTTCCTTGGGAAGGTCTTCCACCTATGGTGTAAGACAGCATCACCTGGCTGCTTCATGCTGACAGGGTCATGTTACAACACTCTGCCTTTAAATTTCTGAAGATGGACTGTGAAGTTCAAGCAGTGCTAATCCTGTTAAAGGCACTCTGGGGTCCTGTTTGTAGCCTGTAGTATTTAGCAGAGTTTCCTAGGGAGTGATGGATTTTTTGCTTGTTATACCAGCATAAGGTGAGTCAGTTCTGCTTCCCTCGTGGGGCTGTCTGGTAGGACACACTGTCAGTGACAGCAGACAACACAGTGGCCTAGTGACTCTTATTACCTGTGGTGCAATTGCACAATTAGTGACACAGCCAAGAACCATGAGGACGGATGCAGTGTCCATGCTCCTAATCATGCAAGATGTGGTTGGTCATAGTTGTCAGTCTGGGGTAATTTTCATAGAATCATAGGAACATTAAGGTTGGAAAAGACAAGTAAGATCACCAAGGCCAACCATTAACCCACCCCCACCATGCCCACTAACCATGTCCCTCAGTGCTACACTGCCCTGATTCTTGAACACCTCCAGGAAGTCTACAAACTGACTGCACAGAGTGTTCCAATGCCTGACAATAATTGTTGAGAAATTTTTCCTAATATCCAACCTGTATTTGGTGGTGGTTTTTTTTTTTTCTCTCCAAAGACTTAGCTCCTGGAGTCATGGGGTTTATACAAGAGCTGTAAGTTTGAGCTGAAAAAAATCACCAAATTCCATCCTTATACATGTAGAATTTGAGAATATAAACCTGAAAACCTCAGAAAAACAGAGGGTAGAGAAAGAAAAGTCTGTCTGTCCATTGGGTTTTGTTAATAATGAACAGCTTGTGATTATGTAAACGCAGTCTCTCAATGTTTTGAGCATATTCATGCTCTTTGGATGCATGGAACAGGCAACACACAGCAGGTACCTCTAACATGCCTGGAACACTCCTAGCACACCCCTTGCTATAGGCAATTGAATAAAACCCAGGGTATAATTCTCAGCTACCTTTCAGAGCAAGAATCAAAAACTTCTCAGAAAGGGCCCTTTTCTGTTAGGTTCAAGTCACGTTTTCCATGAGGGCTGTTGCCATGAAGTTATTCAAGTGTTGGAGTGATTTGTGCTGCCTCTATTTTAATAACTAATCCATTGACTTTTCCATAGGTGTCCACATGAGTTCTAAGAACTAGAGCATAGAAAACCAATCGGGAAATAAATAAAAAAGAGGAAAGACCCTGTTTCTGTCTATCTGCAGAAAAAAGGGGGGCTGGAGGGAGGAAAAAGGCTCTTTCCAGTGTGTCTCTAGGCTTATCTCACAGGAGGAGAGGCTGTCTGCTGGTTGAGGGCTTAGCTTGGTTCACTGCTGAGACTGTCTTGTTGGTGCAGTATGGGAAGTGATGGGTTTCTTGTGGTGCTCGGGCTCCCCACCCTCCCTCACTCATTCTCCAGCCAGCCATGGATGGATTGTGCCAATCCAGGGCAGGAGGGAGCATCAGGGCAAATTGTCTGATGTGTATTGTGCCAGAGAATCTGTGGATGCCCCATCCCTGGAAGGGCTCCAGGCCAGGTTGGATGGGATCTTGGGCAGCCTGATCTGGTGAGGGGCAGCCCTGCCCACGTGAGGGGATTTGAACTGGGTGATCTTTAAAGTCTTTTCCAAACTAAGCTGTTCTGTGAGTCTGTGAAAAAGGCATGTTTTGATGGCTGGAGTTAGTTTAATCTCCAGAGATTCCGGACTCTGTATATAAGGAGGAAATATTTCTTGATGAGAGTAGTGAGATGCTGATCTACTGAAAGATGTCCATGCCCATGGCACAGGGCTGGGCCCAATGATCTTTAGGGGTCCCTCCTGACTGAAACCATTCTATGTTTTTAGGCTGGTTTTGGTGGTGTCTAGTACTGTCATTATATTGCATGCAGCTGCCCCTTCTAGCCATCATTTCCACCTCTGTGCAGTGGGTACTTAATTGTCTGCTGGTGGCATTTGAGGACAAGGAACTGCTGGCTGAACAAGGAGACGCAGCTGCCTCCTCCCTCTCTGAGTCTGTCCCCTTGCCATGCAGCTGGAATTCACCTCTGGAGCATCTGTTTTGCGTTGCTCTGGCCCCGTTAACGACTGGAGGGACCAAACAGTTTGAGGCTGGCAGTGGTGCTCAGGAGCACCCCTCGTCCTGCCAAGTTTCTTTTCTACATGCTGTTGCCTGCAATGATGTTCCTCATCAGGGGAGGTCTCGTGCCACTTGGCTGTCTTGTTCCTTGTTCGCATGCTGTGGTGTTACAAATAAGTTAGATGCTGTCCTCTGACTCGTCAATTCACTGCCGTGCATTATAGTGGCACAGGGTCTGCATTCAGTAGGTTTCCTTCCTTTCTTCTCACGTGGCAGGTGCTCCTGAATGTTTTTCATAAGTTGTACCCTGTGCTTGTGACTTATGGTTGTTGTCAAGGCTGTTATCTTTCTCTTTGACTTTGTCAGAGTTCTTCTGCAAGTAGTTACAAAGGAGAGCCCTGGAAGAAACCATCTCTTGCTTTCCTTTCAGCCCCTTTGTGTAATGAATATGTTGAATAGCTGGTGCCTGAGAAGCATGCAAAGTGTTGAACTTAACTAAAACCTGTTTACAACAGTGGCAAGGTCTTGCTGCACCATCTAGGGTGCTTTCATAATTCTGAGGTGACTTCCAGGTGACACATGGATGCCAGGGAGGTTACCTTAGCTCAGTGCTTCCATAACTATGTGGCCGTTCAGGAAAGGATCATTCAAATATTAGAGGCTGGAACTGAAATCCTTGTTACCTGTGGAGAGCTTTCACAGTCCAAGAGGAATCAGGATTTTGGATCTGCAGAGGTAACTTTGTGCAGCATGCATTTCAGGCATAATTCTACTTTTATTTTTTTTCCTTTAGAACAACCTGGTTATGAAGGAAATAGGGATGGTGCATGATGTGTTACTGGGACAAGGGAAGGAAACCTGTGGTGATTCCTTCTGCAATCAAAGCCGGCTTCAGAATATACAGAAAAGAACTCAGTAAACCTTCTTGGACCGAGCTCCAGGTATTGTTGCAGTCATACCTGCTTGGAGGCTGTTTTCCCCCCATCCAGCAGGTAACCAGCCTTGTTCTCCACCACTGGGAGCAGTGCTGGGGATAACTTTATCTAGGTATGCCCTTGATCCCTTAGAACAAGAGGTTTGTTGTTTTAGTATTTCTGAGGGCAGTTTTCTGCTGGTGAAGTTTGTGAGAATTGCAAGTCAGGTACCTTCAGGCAAATGCTTTGCAAGTTTTCTGCATGGACTCCTATCATTACCTTCTGTGCTGCTCAGATCTTTAGATCCTCATGACCAGAAGCGAGCACAGAAGTCACTCAGTCTGATGTAGAGCACCAATTGCAGAGCAAGGCACGTTTCTGTAGGGATCATGCAGTCTCCCTTCTGTTCCTACATTCAGCTTGGGCGTCTGCATGGCTAAACTAAGCAGAAGGCTCCATTCTCAACCTGCTCTCGAAGCCCCTTCCTCTCTCTCCCCTCCATGACATTATTTTCCCCATCCCTCCCCAGAAGCCCATTCCAGCACTGGGGTCTGGTGCAGCAGCTGTGCTTCCCTCTGAGCTCAGCAGGCGGGAGTGGAGCTGGCAGGTGAGCAGGGATAGGGTTGTTTAGTCTGGGAGGCAATTAGTGCAAGTGAGCAGCATCTGGAGAGCATGCACAAAGGCTGACAGAGGGGAAACTTCTGCTTTAAGATGGAGCAGCGTGGGGGAAATGGGTAGGACCAAGGTGTTTTTGTTTTTTTTTACCAGATAAGGAGAAAAATACAAATAAGGGTGGGCCCATTTGTCACCTGTCCACTACTTCCTAGAGTTATCCTTGTGTCAAGCATAGCATAACAGAGTGGTTAGGAGATGGAAGGATGGGAAACAGCTCTTTTTCAGGAAAACAGAGAGAGAATTTTTTTTAGGGATTTTTTTTTTTTCCCCTGGAAGGTAGCTGAAAGCAAAAGGATCTCTGCTGTCTGCTTTACTTGTTCCTCCTTTAATTCAGTGGGAAATCAGGATTAAGAGAACACATAGGAGCAGTGTGGAGGGTGAGAGTCCATATGGTGGAGTGGAGGCACTCATCCTGATCTGACAGCTGCCTAGAAGGCACTGTAGGAAGCTTCTTTAGTAAGGACAACTGGGTGGAGAGGAGCAAAGTCAAGCTGGAAAGAAACAGTGTGAATCCCTCTTGGGAGGGGAGAAGTCAGAATAGCTGTGAGTGAATCTCAGTTTTGCCACTGGGGATGTTGGGTAAGTTTGCCTTACCTTGAGTAAGTGTGTCTTCCTGCTGTTCTGCCTTACCTACCAGGAAAGCAGTTTTGCTGTGAGTTCCATTGGGAGCCTAAATGTCTGTGATTTGGGCATCCTTAGTATGGATCTTGAAACAAAGCCTGTGCCCTGAGATTCAGGGTCATTTGAGGGCTAATTCATTGCTGTTGGGAAGGGAGTTGTGTTCAGTTTCATGCAATTTCACCTATTTCTTGTGTCTGAGCTCTGCATCAACAGATTAAATGCAACTTCTGGCTCTCTTTCTTGAAGGCAAGATTGCTCTGTGCCAAAGCTGCAGCCAGGGGAGGGAAATGTGTGGACACGGGCACCATAAAGCTACTTGAGCAATGTACTGCTGGAGGCAGGGTGCATTCTAGGCAGGAAGAACTTCTTGTGTGCTCTTTTCTTATGCTGTTTTCTCCATTTCTATTGCTGACCACCATGGGAGCTGGGAATAGAGCTAGATGGAACTTTGATCTGAGCTGCTACTCTACCAGTGCAATTATGAAAGTCCTTAGTACTGTTGATCCCATATGCCCTAAATGTCTCAGTGAGCTCACATCCACTAACCTGCGGAAGAGTTCCAGTAGTCTCACGTGAAAGCATGGATTTTAAAGTTGCAAGCTGCACACCAGCTTGTGTTACACAACTCACCTGTTTCCTCAGAGCCTCGCTAACCCTGCTGGTGGTCCCACACACACACACAGCTCGGTGACTGAGGAGCTAAGATGGTCACCCATGGCCAATGCAAAGAGATTTTTCAGGTCCTTGTTCCCTAGTGGAGTCCTCGCTGACCTTTCCAACGGTGCTGTGTGGGGCTGTCTGGCTGCCTAGGGCCAGGGGCTGGAAGAGGATCCCGTTGGGAACGAAGCCCCAGGACTGCCAAGGGTTTGCTGCCCTCCTATGGCTTTGGCCGGCACGGCCAGGGCCATAGGAGGCCAGGGTGGAGGAGGTGGTGGCTGATGGAGCCAGCCCTGCACACAGCCCCAACGTCCTCGGTCAGGCTCTCTGTGTGCTCTTGTGCAGCCGATAGGTTGGAGCCTGGGCTCCCGTTCAACCGGTTACACAAATCCAGCAGAACAGCAAGGTTTCCCCAAAGCAGCTCCATCTGTGCAGGGCACTTGTTCCTCAGGACTCCCTTGGTCGTGCTGTGCTTTGCCGGAGTTTGTGCCAAACCCAGTGCTTGTGGTTTAAAAATAACATTTGGATGTGACAGCTTCATTATTTACCTAGGAGCCAACGTTGTCTGGTAGGCAGAGCCAAACAGCTAGAAGTCTGAGGTGAGAAGTTCTCATCTACTGCTATTTTTGTATTGCCACCCGCTGCCTCAGTTTCCCTGCTGGTGAACTGGGGTTAATGAAAAACAGCTCTTGATAATTTCTACATAGCTGAGTTAACCTTAAGGATCTTGATTAGGACTTTTTCCTCCAGAGTCCTTGAGCAATATCATGCTAGGGCAAAGCAAGTATTTGTGCCTCTAGGTAATGGACCAAACCTTGAAAGAATCTATTAACACAGAGATCTGTAGTAAGGGCATCCCGGAAGACTTACGGTAGTGGCACTGCTGTGTTGCTGGCTTGTCCATTACTTCCAGAAGAAAATATTGCATGCTCTATTCCCCTTCATTTTCAGCTTTGCTGGCTCTGCTTGTGCTTTTAATTTCAATGACAGCTCAAAGCCAAATGTCTTTGCTTCTTCGCTCTGTACATTAATGATGTCTAAAACGTACACAAACACCACAACATATAAGGAGAGTCGCCTTGTATAGTTTTTTTTTGGTTTTTTTTTGTTTGTTTGTTTTTTTAAGAAGTCAGACCTTAGAGATTTTCTTCTGCTTCTAGGACTCCTCATTCAAATAATGCAGTCCACTATGGACTGATGCGAGCGAGGAGACGTGGAGGCTGTCAGCATCACCTGGCACAGCACAGACATCAGGATGGTGGCATCAGGATGCTGTGACCTCTGGCTGGTCATTGGAAGAAAGCTGATGTGATGGAACACTGTCCTGGCATAAGAATAGCTGCCTCCAAAGCCTTCCATTCCTCTCTATGTTCTCCTGAAGGGGATGGTTTAATACCATAGGCAAAGATTTTCTTATAGGTCTTCAAGTACCACAACTGTATTTGTCTTTGCTTCTTTCTGATGTATAAGGAAATGCCTTGAAAAGTGAGGTTTTCAAACTGTCTGGAGGAAAGCTCATCTTTTGGCATCTGCTTAAGCCGTACCAAACACAGCGGGGGTTGTGTTCCTGGATGGCGTGCAGCAAGCAGGCACTACAGGTGTCAGGCATTTGCATTTGCTGGAGGACTTCTTAGAGTTCTCTGATGGGTGCTGGGACTGCCCTCTCACTGTAAGGTGAAGGCCTGAAGTTATTATATCTTAATCAATGTCGAGTTTTCTTGGAGTGCTGTGATTTTCTTTAAAAAAAATTAAATGGATCCTTGGTTGGGGCAAATCCATGTGGTTCCACTGACTGTCTTGCAGCTAAGCTAGGTTTTTGCTAGCGAGGAAGCCGGCTTTAAGAACTTAAAGGAGCCTTCCTAGGATTCACTCTTCTATCCTTCATTTTTTGATGACAGGTTTTGACTCCTGTTTCCATTTTGCAAATGGCCAGCAAGTCCCGAGCCAGGAAAAACTGGAATTCCTTTGATAGCTCAGATGAGATCATAACTTAGAGCCAAACTCTGCAGATGTTTGGGGCTTTGATTTGAATCATCCAATAACAGATTTACTTATTGCTGCTCACTTCAAATTTAGTGGTTAAGATAGTTTCCAATCAGCCACCTGATCAGCATCTACTAGGAAGCATGACCAGCCTGCCTCATCTGTTGAATCTGGAGTTGGAGAGCTGAGCAGGTCCATGACACAGGACAAAGCATTCTTTGTAGAGTAAATTTTTCTTCTCTAAAAATATATATATTTTTTTCCCCTGATGCTTTGTTTTTCTTGTTACCGAGGTGTGGAAAGACAAAAAGAAGAAAAAAATAATAACTCCAGATTGAGCAGAAAACAGAGAGTAAAATTAGCTGAGGAACTTCCAAACAAGTGTGTATGTGTACACACAGGAGAGCTTGGTTTTGTTTACTATTTGTTTTGAATTTCCATTCTTTGCCCTCAGATCAAGCTCCAGGAGAAGGGAGAGCCTGGAATGAGGTCTCAGATGTCTGCAGCTCTGAAAAGCTGTGAGAGGAACCCTAGTGAAAGGCTGAAGCAGCAGATGCATGTGCAACACTTTCAATGGCTTTTTGCTATAGAATCCTTGCTTCCTGAGAGTTTTATTCCCTTTGTAATTACTGAGAAAGATGGTAACCAAGGAAAGGCCAGTATCTGTTAACCTCTTCAGTGCTGTGCATCTGGGTGATGGCTGTCATCTGCATCACAGGAGAGCCTAGAGGCTGAGACCAAGTGCTCTGGGCTGATCTGTGCATTGTAACACCAAAGTCCTTATCTGACAGATATGACAAAAGAACAAGACTCACAAAGGAAGTGCAGGAGCTCTCACATCAGTGTTAAGTAAAATCCTGCCTGGACGATTCCTTAACAACGAATTGATAAACTTTCAGCATGCTAATGATTCCATTGGGGCATTGGAGAAATAAGCAGCCTGTGTGGGTAAAATGTTCTATTAACTCCAATAACCAGATTTTTGCATCCTTTTTGTTTGCAGACTGCTTATTTTCTGATCCTGGTGACTGCTGAAACCAAGTTCCACATGTAGATCACTGCCTGGTTTGAAGCCATGTGGTTGTTCCAATGTTCTCGGTCCTGTAAACATCTCCTAGAACATGGCATACCACTTCATCTGCCTCTCATTAAGTAGAGAATGTGATTACTATTATGCACGGAGTTGTCAAACCAGTCTGGTGTTTGCAGACTTTACCAAGGATCAGGTGTCCTCCTTCACCACGATGCCATCCTCTTCTCAATAGCTGCCACTGGCAAAGTTAGAGAGTGCTTAAAAAAACCCACAAATATACAGTACACAAGATAAAGTACCAAAATACAGGTGTAGCATGTGTCAGGGAATTATTTAAAGTGTCTGAAGCTTGAAACGCTGAAGTTAAAGTATCAGCTGGGATCTGGTCTTAGCTTGGTCACAAACAGAACATGCAAAGTGCTCAGGAAAGGAGGCCTTGCTGTGGAAAGCTAACTCTTCTGTGTCTGTTTCTTCCCACCTGGAGCTCCAGCAGAGGAAGAACGCAGTGAAGAGAATGAGGATCTGAAGAGAACAAGTGCCAGTGCAGCACGGTGCATTCTGGAGGGCCAGAATTGTTGTTAACTTCTGCCTGCTACACACACAGACTTGTTGGTCCTTGTGGGATGGGACTGCTTCCCCTTCTATTTTGCAGCTCTTCGTTATCTCTCATGAGACAGGCAACGGTAACACAGTGTGTTTGTCTCTGCCTGGGTTCCTCTGCTCTCACGTTTCTAGTGTTCACCTTGCGTTAGGAAAAAGTGGAGCGTGCTGCAGAGCACAGATGTGCATACGTCCTTGTGGTAGAAGGGGGACTGGGAGCCATCTGCCTTTCATAAGCGCAGATGTTTCCCTCTGAAGGTGGGACTTATGTCAAGTGCCCTTCAACTGCTCAAGCTTACCTCCTGATAGAGTTGTGTTCATTATGTCAGGGCTAGCCACAGTTGAGAAAAGGGAGTGTTATCATTTGCCAGTTTACTCTGATACCCTGTGTATGTATGTTGTCTTTAACCAGGCTGAATAAAAAGCAGAAAGGTCTGCTCATGTCATGGACTTACTGGTAAATGCCGATGCCTTTCAACCTGCTGCTGTCCTGCTTTGGGGGCTGGTTGCAGACGGCTCCTCTGATTCATCAGCTTTTCTTCCATGGCTCTCACCTGGAGTTTGGGAATGTTTATCAATCATTAAGGTTGGAAAAGACCACTGAGATCACCAAGTCCAATCTTCAATCCACCATGCCCATTGACCACGTCCCTCAGTGCCACATCTCCATGGTTCCTGAACGCCTACAGTCATGGTGACTCCACCACCTCCCTGGGCAGTCTGTGCCAGTGCATCACAGCTCTTTCTGAGAAAACTTTTTCTTAATATCCAGCCTGAACCTCCTCTGGTGCAACTTGAGTCCGTTGCCTCTTTTCCTATCGCTGTTACCTGGGAGAATAGGCTGACTCCCACCTCAGCACAACCTCCTTTTCAGGCTGTTGTAGATATGTAATTATGGTGAAGAAGAGCTCCCAGAGCCCTCCCACCATGCTGTGGGGAGGCCCTGCAGGGCAGTGCTATGTGATCTGGCGCAGCACTGCAAGCTCTATGAAGCTGTCTTGCTCCCCTGGGAACACTCACATGCTCAGAGCAGCCGCGGCAGCAGTGAGGATAACCCCAGCGTGGGCAGGGGGCTGACTCATCTCTCCAGAAGAGGCAACACTGTTTATTAATTACTGCTCCTTTGAAGTGCGAAAATGGAGAAACTCTCTCATGGCCAATGTTGTGATTAACCATCTAATTGTTCTGCTGGTATGTTTGCTTAAGGGGCTTCCTTTGCTCCGTGTGCATTAAGAAATAGTTTCTCATCCTACCGTTGTTGCACCCAGATGATAGTCATTAGCAATGTACCAGACACATTGTGTGTGTCTTGTCCTGATGTTGGTGTTTTGTTTTTTTTCTATCCCTTGGTCCATCTCTGCTGAAGTGACTTCAGTGTTGGAGGGAGAATGATGGCTCTTCAGAGTAAAGTCTTTTGTTCCTACAACACACAGAGAATCTCTTTGTGGAAGAATCAATTATTTGTCCCAGCCAACAGATCCCTCAGTTTTCCGTCTCAGGGGACCGTGCCACAGGTGATGGAGGGTGCTCACATCCCAAAGACCCACCAGCCTGGGCTGCAGATGCTGGCTGCGTGCTCAGACCCCACTGAGGTGCAGAACCACAGCCTGTCCTGCCAGCCCTGATGTTCTCATCCCAGATATGTACAGGTTAGAAATGGGGTTTGGAGGGAGTCGGCATACCCATCTGTGGGAAAGTCTCCTCTTTGATGCATAGAAGCACAGAGGTTTATCCAAGGGCTTTCTCTGTGCCTCCTAGGCTTTGCCTGTCTTTGCTTAAATGTTAGATTGAACTTAAATCTTGGAGCTTGGCAGATTCAACATGGGTGAGAATCTGCTTGATCTGAAATATGGAAAGAAAGGAGAGAAAGTTGCTTTACCTTTGCCTTGTTCTATACGTGTCTGTGATAATGGGAAACTCAGAATGCGTCTGAGCAAGCCAGATGTGAAAGTAAATGGTATCTGTAGCAGGCAGCTAGTGCTGGAAATTTTTGTCTGATCATTAATTCCAGGCCAGTTCCCATTGAATGTTCCATTACAGGTACAATTTCCACCAAAACGCATTTCAGGACCGTTTCAAACCTTTTTTTTTTTTTTTTTTTTTTTTTTTTACTGTATCCAACAAAGCAAAAGCAGGTTTTGAAATGACAAGTAGCTGAAAGCAAGGGAAGACTTGTACTTGCTCAGTCTTGCTGACATTGCCGTTCCCTTCTATGTATGGTAAGCATTGCAAAATCCAGCATTTCCTTCATGCTGCTCACGTGGAAGTCCATGCAAGCTTTACTACTTGTCTCCAGATCCCATGAAACCTTAGATTTTCCCCTTCATTGTGCACTATGCAGCATCTCAGCCAGAAAGGCACTTTCCATGCTCTGGGCAACTGTGTTGTGCTGCGGCACAGTGGCTCCTGCTGTGCCCAGTCCTGCAAGGCTGTGGGCTGCAGCTAGAGGGGGTGAGCAGGCAGAAGATAGTTTCTGCTAAAATTTCACATTTGAAACTTTTCATCTCACCCCCAGCATTTCTCCTTCCCCTGCTCTCAGTAGCACCTGCAGGCATGTCTCTTTCTCTAGTAGACTTCTGCTGTGTATGTGTGCATTTCTAATACGCATGCAGGTATATATACTGCATGTATGTATGTTTTATATGTGTGTATCTATGCACGTGCAGCATATCTACCTATCAGCATTAGAAACTGTGATTTGTTGTGAGACAGTGCGAGGTCTCTGCTGGTGACTGAGGTTGGAGTGCCTGAAATGTTGTGCACACGTCATGAGTAAGTGGCCCTTTCTGCCGAGATCTCGCAGTCCAAGTGTATGATTAGGAACAACAGATGGATACCACAAACAGACAGGCGGCGTGGGTGGGGGAGGAGCACAAAATACCACTGAGATAATTAGGATGAATGATTAATGATTCGACTGGATAAGAAGGGGCCAAAATGCTCTAGCTGAATATTGCTGGTGATGCCTCACAGGGACCTCCTGATGGAGGTGGACAAGAGATGCACTGTATTTTGTACTCCCTTGTTATCCAGGCTACTAATTTCCCTCTGAGTCCGTGTTTGTAGATGTTTGGCTCTAAGATTACACTGCGGCTACACTGTAAGGATGGTGTAACTCCAGTGTGTTCTGAATGGAATGCAGACCCAACTGTGCTGAAACACTAGTCCTTACAGGAATTTGGATCTCGTAGGAGCTGATCCAACACCCACTGGAGTCAGTGAGCTCTTGACCCGTATGGGATTTGGGACAGTCCCAGAATGTTCAAGTGGGCTTCATACTGGGCTGAACAAGTGGGATACGCATTTAAGACGATAAGAAGAAATGCTTTGTATGAAATTCATTTAATATCTTTCTGTTTGCATGTACACATTTTTACTGTGTGAAATCAGACTGATTTTTTATCTGCTGCATCTATCTCGACATGTGGTGTATGTTACAGTGGACCGATCAGTTACATGATTAAAATACATGGTAAACAGATTCACAGCAGGCTTAACACTAGCAGTTTTGTATTTTTGCAATAATTTTACCCCAACTTTTTCTCTCATGAAGTGTGATTTTGTTGTTGCCTCTTTGTTTTCCCTTGAGAGATTGCCCATTGCTTTCCTAAGTCAACTCAGTCTATTTCCTGAAGATTCTTCCATTGCTTTTATGGTAGCTAAGTGGCTTGTGAGTACTCAAGGGTGTCAAGCTTTCTCCCCACTTACACAAATTGCACTGATGTTGAAAAGGATCACAAAACACAGTGCCTTTTGGCTGCCAGGGTCACCCCATATTGTTGACTTCAAGGAACTGAGGGAAGGCAGGAGAAGGGAAATGGAAGGTGCCAAGTAAAGATTTCTTGCATCATCACACAGGGTTTGATTCTGACTCTGGTCAATGAAAAAGCTTTTACTGTGTGGCCAGGTGGAATATCAGATCATTTGATGCCACTCCAAAGAGGGTCATGTATGCACAACTTTGATCTACTCCCTCTGTATGTAAAGGGGTGCTCACCTTCACAGGGAGGTAGTATGCACTAGCACGCTATCCTTTAGTGCCTAGGTGTTGCAGCTATTACCAAGGGTTCTATTTCCACGTTACTTGGGTTTTTGTGCATACTAAGGGAAAATATTTACAGCTGTTGTCATAGGCATGTGAAGAAATCTTACGCTACTTTTCAAGACAAAATTTTCAGACAGCTTGACTCGGCATGACGATTCAGAGAAGGATGCTGGTACTGATGCCAAACTTGTGGTTTTCTCTAACTCATTTTGCAGGACCTCCTTTTGCTGACTAGAAAGCCTTCACTTGAAATGCAATTACCCTAACGTAGAGAAAAGAACAGGCATAACCATGACAGATGAGAGGAAATTTCCTCAGATCACCTCTTCATCATCAACAGTGGCACATCTTCTGTACTTGCTTGATAAAAAGAAAGATTTAGGCTGGATCACTGTGTAAATGCATAACCTAACAGCCCTATTGGCTTCAGCAGAGCTTTACCAGTAAACGTTAAGTCATAAGAAAAGATAATTAAATAGAGGGCTAACTATAATCTCATAAGCAGTGCAAATTAGTACAGTTTTATTGGAGTCAATGGTGCAATGTCAGTGGAGAATTTGGCCTCTGGATGCACCCAAATGATGGCAACGTGGTAGCAAACTTCCTCCTAGAAACAACCGCACTTTTTGTTAACTCTTACATTCTTTCTGATCTGCCATCCTTTTTTGAATGTACTTTTTATGCTGCATCTTGGCTGGTCTCTCTTTGACATTCTCAGCATTTTTTTTTTTTTTATCTCTACTGTACCCTTTCCATTAATTCAGTTCTTTAGCTGTGTTGCCACCTTTTCATTTTTCTCTGCTTGTCTGCCTCATCATCCTTTTTCTGCATTGAGCATCGCAAGATGTTGGGATTATGTGAATTGAAATATTCTCATAGAGTGGATTGACACACGTGCCTTTGTTCTGTGGAGCTTGTTTTCGTTATGTCATCCTTCCCCTGCAATTGCTTCCTGGGTCTTTGTGAAGTAATGGGCATGGTGGTTTACCTCATACCTTCTGGCTACTTCTGATACCCAAGTCTTTGATACATCAATTCTCAGCTTTGAAGAGGCATGCTGACAGTGGTGGGCCATTCCTGAAATCTGAAGCCATATGTCTGCATTCTCATTTTCCAACTGGAGATACTATGAAGAAGTACTGATAGTGATGGCGATATTGTATGCTGAATATGAGTCAGGAAGACCGTGGAGATGGGAACAGTCATTTCCCTTCATCTCTGTAAAAAAGAAGATCTATCTAACTCAGAACTTCTGAATGACAGAGGGGATCTGAGCTGGTGATTGCACTGTCTGAAGATGCTGTGTTCACTGGTTCCACACACAGAAGCTGTTAGTAAATGTAGAGCTGCTGTCATTTGCCCTCATTCATTCCTGGGGCCAAGTACTGAAACTCACATAGAGAAGGATGCACACCAGAC